TGAATTTTCCAAAGTACTTATGCGACACAACGCTGATGTGTCAGTGCCACACAGAACCCCTTTATCAAGGTGACCCCTGTATGAATCATTCATTATCTTGACAATGGGGTTCTGTGCAGACCCAACATGTCCCAGTAACGTTGCATAAGAACAGGGGTAGCCACACTCCGGCCCTCCAGCTGTGGTGGAACTACAAATCCCATGAGGCATTGCAAGATTCTTACAGCCACAGACATGACTCCCGGAGAGAGATGCATCATGGGATTTGTAGTTTCACCACAGCTGGAGGGCCGGAGTTTGGCTACCCCTGCATACGAACATTGTTCTCTGCATCTGCCGGGCACGTGTGGTGTACCGGCATTTTGATCTTTTCGGTCACCATTGTTTAAAGGTATCACAGACGTTCTAGGTGAGCACGGGTGTAGTGATGCAAATGCTTTCCACTTGTTCTCCTGGAACTCTGTGTGTCAGACAGTATCTGTCCATAGGCAGGTGCTTGGATACTTCAGTGAAACCGACACCCAGCATCAGCACAGAACAAGTGTTATAAAAGAACTCTAGACATACATTTTAACCCTTGCAGTGGGGCCACCACTTTACTGAAAGGGTCAAGTGCTCCTTTTCTTCTAGGGACGGAACAAAAAAAAACTATACTCACCTAAACCTCTCAGCCGCCTGTCTACTCCTCCACTCGGCGTCCTCATGTCCTATACACTGTATTGGATGTGATGACTTACAGGACTTTAGAGCACTGGAACAAGGGGACCGGTCTAACAGCTAACCGGCTGCGAGGTTCAGGCGAGTATAACTTTTATTATTTACGTCCCTAGAAGAAAATGAGCACTTAACCCTTGCAGTGCAGGGGTAGCCCCACTGGAAGGGTTAAGAATAATCATGCCCAGAGTTCCTCTTTAAAGCTCAATCGAATTTTTAGTTGAAATGAGCAGAGTACAAAATAAAAAGGTTTTCGAGCCGTAGATGAGCTTGTTGAAACATAGCCTGAGTTGGCTGAACAGTGACGGCATCAATATACCCTGCAAATGTATGGCTAACCTCGCCGTAAGGACACTGAACCCCTTTTGTATTGATGCTCCTTCAATATATTCAGCTGATTCAAACTGAAGGTTCAATGGGCTTTAAGGGAGCTTGATGTTGATGGAGATTAGGTGCTACCCATGTGCCTGCCTACACTGCCTGAAACCTCCTTTCCCACCTTCTACCTCTGTGTGAATCTTCTTGCCTCTCTTTAGGCTAGGTTCAAACTGTTACACTGCAGGACCACATGCACATTGATGCGTGCTCTTATTTGAAAGGACTGTCTTTTGCATTCATTTGATTGGCCTGCCTACCGCACCAAAAACAGGGCATGTACTAATATTTGTAACGCAGTGCACCACAATGCATGGTAGTGCATTACTGCAGCGCATGTCAAGGTGTGTGGGGTGCCATAAAGCATAGAGGGCCTCTGCAGCACACCTAGGTTCTGGAAAAACTGGAGCAGAGCAGCTGAGAACAAAGTTGGGGGTTTTCCCGATAGCAACCGATTAGGTTTCACCTTTCAGGTAAAAATATAAAACAGGAAATCTGATTGGTTGCCGTGGGCAATCATTTTACTTTCATTCTCATTTAGTTCTCTCCAGTAGTTGTGAATCATCCCAATACGATTAGTAATGTTATACAAGTGCAGTAACCCAAAGCAGCAATTCCCTTTTAGTTTCATGACATGGAATCAGTGAAATATTGCTGAGGGTCTCATGATGAATCCAACAATACTGCATCTAACTGCGCCATGCTGGAAGTACACATGCCAAAAGTACTATTCATCTTTAACTTCAGATCGCAAAAGATCTACCAATTCATGCACATTTTGGGACATCCCTTCTCGGGCCCAGTCATTTTCATCACCATACAACATATGATTGACAATGCCCCAATCCAGCATTGGGAGGTGGCAGCAATGTGCAGTAGAAGTGGTCCCAGATGGCCAGAGATTACAAACATTCCCACCAAAAAGGAGCATATTACTGCTTGGCCTGTTTCTCCTTTTATAGTTAATGTCGGCCTCTTTGGTTTTGTCCATTTTATTTATGACTACATACATATTGCTTTAGTCAACCCGATCTGGTTTATCTTTAACCAGCAGGCAGGGGGTTCAGGTAGTAGTCTTGAGTGCTGTGATTATTCATGAACTCTAAACTTAGATGATTAATGAAACCCTTCCCAACAGTCGCAGTGACTGCACCTTCCTTCACATTCAATATTCAAACGTAACCTGCAGTATTAATATATATATATATATATCACTTTCCCAACTTAACAAAAATAAACAACAATATTTTGAATGCATACTTTCCAAAACAAATGACAACGCTGAGACATACTAGCCTGGATGTCCCCTCCTTGTAATCCACAAGGACAAATATCATATGCAGGCAATGGTGAATGTATGTTTGGTTTTCTATATTATACCTTAAGCCCCAATAAATAAATACACAGAAGAAGACGCAACCACTTGTCATGAAAGTCTAATCTAATGTTCTGTTCCCATGTACGCTTTCTAGTCAGCAGGGTGGTCTAAATATTGCTATTCCTGCTCTTTCAGAGTACGGGTATTACATTGGGCTCTATACTTATGGTACAGTAGCAATTGTGAGCAGATATGGACGGCAATGCATCTGATATGTACAACAATATATTCTTTCCTCAGTGCCCATATGTTCAATCTTTACAAAAGACAGAACGCCATGTATTCCTTTAACTAACCATTAGTTCTCTGTCCTTGCAATGCTTTCTGGTTCTGTGTATGTGTGCCAAATAATGTGACGTTGCACAAGGTACCAGGACATGACCTTTGTAAATTTGCCACTATGCAGTCCAAATGTTACAGAACCATGAAAAGGTTTATTTTTGGCCCCGTAACTAAACGAAGATGGCAAGGCATTAGCTGAATGTCTGTAGTTATTGCAGTGAGTTAACCCTTTATGATGGCTGTAAATAAATGCGGACTGTAAGTTTTGTTACTTGCAGGTTTCATGAAGTTGAATACCACATGTAAAGTATTGATCATTGAAGGGACTTGTGTAGAATTCATGTAGGTCGCTGGGTCCTTACTAATCTGTGGTGTCTTTTTGTTCAGGAATAATGCCGGCACAACACAATGACAAAACAACACAAACCCCTTTACTATGTTTTACATAATACCTGCATAGTTCACATAGAAGTTTTTAAAAAGCTTCCATATAGATGTATGGCATCTGTACATAATGGCCTTGTTACTGGTACTGGAGGTCACCTTTAATGACAGAAGTATTACTGAGAATGTGCCCTATTAAATACCCCAAAACTCATTATGTTAGTGCTCCATGTCTTCACTGAGCCCTCAGAGTTCCATGTCTTTACCAAGCCCTCAGCGTTCCATGTCTTCACTGAGCCCTCAGCGCTCCATGTCGTCACTGAGCCCTCAGCCCTCCATGTCGTCACTGAGCCCTCAGCCCTCCATGTCGTCACTGAGCCCTCAGCCCTCCATGTCGTCACTGAGCCCTCAGCCCTCCATGTCGTCACTGAGCCCTCAGCCCTCCATGTCGTCACTGAGCCCTCAGCCCTCCATGTCGTCACTGAGCCCTCAGCCCTCCATGTCGTCACTGAGCCCTCAGCCCTCCATGTCGTCACTGAGCCCTCAGCCCTCCATGTCGTCACTGAGCCCTCAGCCCTCCATGTCGTCACTGAGCCCTCAGCCCTCCATGTCGTCACTGAGCCCTCAGCCCTCCATGTCGTCACTGAGCCCTCAGCCCTCCATGTCGTCACTGAGCCCTCAGCCCTCCATGTCGTCACTGAGCCCTCAGCCCTCCATGTCGTCACTGAGCCCTCAGCCCTCCATGTCGTCACTGAGCCCTCAGCCCTCCATGTCGTCACTGAGCCCTCAGCCCTCCATGTCGTCACTGAGCCCTCAGCCCTCCATGTCGTCACTGAGCCCTCAGCCCTCCATGTCGTCACTGAGCCCTCAGCCCTCCATGTCGTCACTGAGCCCTCAGCCCTCCATGTCGTCACTGAGCCCTCAGCCCTCCATGTCGTCACTGAGCCCTCAGCCCTCCATGTCGTCACTGAGCCCTCAGCCCTCCATGTCGTCACTGAGCCCTCAGCCCTCCATGTCGTCACTGAGCCCTCAGCCCTCCATGTCGTCACTGAGCCCTCAGCCCTCCATGTCGTCACTGAGCCCTCAGCCCTCCATGTCGTCACTGAGCCCTCAGCCCTCCATGTCGTCACTGAGCCCTCAGCCCTCCATGTCGTCACTGAGCCCTCAGCCCTCCATGTCGTCACTGAGCCCTCAGCCCTCCATGTCGTCACTGAGCCCTCAGTGCTCCATGAGCCTCCACAGATATAAATGAAGCATTGGGAGACACCATTGTAATAAGCTTTGGCTAAATGCACAGAATTGTTGTCCCACTCTTGTAGACCTTGACACTGAATGTGTTCTTTGTAGCTGGTGACACCACAAGGAGGACACCATTTTTAGCTTTAGCCAGCACATTTATATTCTTATGTTCAGGCACTGCCACAGTGCAGGCCTTGCAGATGTAATTTAGTTCAATGTATTTCATAGACAGAGACAGAACGTCACCTGAGATCTGCTGATAAAAAGAATCAGATTTTAGAGTGTTCTATAACACCTCATGGGAACTTACATTGTGGCAATAGCGGGTACACTCTGCCAGATCTTCTAATGTCTGTAATGTATTCAGTATAGAATGCAGACATTTTAGAGTGTAGAGAGGGGTTAACATTAAAATATTTAGGACCCAACCTCTATCTATGACTTCAAGTTTGAGGATTACTTTACCATCTACACCCCAGAAGCATTCCAAGTTTTTACATTTACAGTGCACCACCAAGACACCTATGGCCTGGAACACTGCATGCCTACCCAGCAGCAAGGAGCCACACCAATAGCACTCTCTATGCTCCTTTCTTTCAGACACCCACCAACAAACTCACTTTTCAGATTCCACCTCTTATATATGGTTAGCATACAGTTCTCCTAAAAATATATAAAAGAAATGGAAGAGGCACTAAGATTTTCCCAATGTTACCATCCAAAAACAGCAGCACAGACAAAGGCCACCATTACCCAAGGAAACTGCGGCAGTGCTTTGAGAAGAAAAAAAAAAAAAAAAAGAGTGAAAAAGTAAATGGAGAGCTAGTAAATCACCAAGACACAGACATGTCTCACTAATCAAATGATTTTCAAGTGTGTGTTAAAAAAAACTACCTTCCAACCCCTGAGTAGAATCCCGAGAAATAGAGTCTTTAGCTTTGTTCCTACAAACAGAGCTAGAAGCACTTTAACAAACATTATCTTGGACCAAGATGATGTAAACGTGTAAAAAGTTTAAAGGTAAAAGCAGTCTTGTAAACATTAACTGCAGGATGACCCAGTGTTCATCTGTTAGGTTTCCATTATCCTTCATTGAGTGTTGACTGTACAAAGTTACTCATTGCAGCAGGTTTCAGTCTGGCTTCAGCCACAGTAATCTTCATGTGTTGGCCTTCCACTTTATACACTAAGGATGTTGTTCATTTCCCACTTCTGTGATGATTTGCTGGAGTCACAGTCTGACAAGAACACTTGGTGAAGAACCTCAGAGCGATCCAGGCATTTTCCGGTAGGGATATGGGTAAATCTGTGTATGTTCTACAGGAGGGAAGAGATACATCAAATCACTTGCTTTATATTATGGAAAAAAAAGCTTTTCTAACACCAGGCCATTGTCTGGCAGGGCTGGACAGGAAGAACCCACATGTATACATGTAAGTGTGCTTATGGTATGGCACCACTACTTCTCACCTTTGACTAAGACCAGACTACGAAAATGTGGCTATATTCTTGTATATATAAAAAAGCCAGTCCAGGAAGCTCCATTTGTGCTCCTGATCACTCTTGGGAAATTATCTCATACCCAGAAGGACCAGTTTTACTGAGGGCTCTTATGGAGCAGCAGAGTATTGGGGGAGTGTGGAAAAGGCAAGTATTGGGGGAGTGTGGAGGAGCCAAGTACCGGGGAATGTGGAGGAGCCAAGTACCGGGGAATGTGGAGGAGGCGAGTATCGGGGGGGAGTGTGGAGGAGGCGAGT